GGGAAGCAGCCAAGCTCACTGTTGCACCCATGGGGGGGGGTTTACCCCCAAAGTGTATACATATGCAGCTATGTGAGGGAGGGATAGCTCAGTGGTTTGGGCATTGGCCTGCTAAACCCAGGGTTGTGAGTTCAATCCTGGTGGAGGCCACTTAGGGATTTGGGGCAAAAATTTGTTAGGGATGGTACTTGGTCCTGCTGTGAAGGCAGGGGGCTGGACTTGATGACCTTTCAAGGTCCTGGCCAGCTCTAGGAGACAGACAATCTCCATTATTTAAAAAGAAAGTGTCAAACAAAAGCTTACCTTCTACTGATTCCATATATACTATTCATGTAATTGTATAGTGTCTGTGTGTGGAGTTATAAACATGTGCTCTATGTGGATGCTGGAAATGTCTCTGTCTGTGGTTGAGCAATGGATGAGGAATGCTCAGCCAATAGATATGCTAATGAGTGAGGCTCCAGGGACAAGGGATCTCTAAATGCCAAAGACACACCTGGCTACGGACCATGTAACCTGCTCCAGCCAAGATGCTGTGAGGAGAGGTGTGAGGAGAGGTATATAAGTGCCATGTGGCCCCTCCATCTTGGTCTTCAGTTTTGCTCCTAATCCCAGATGCAGACTTGCGGGGAACAACAAGCCAGAAAGAACTGTGGACCCATCCTGACATCGGATGTATACCAGAGACTTTTAAGATAGCAGAGATGTTATAAAGTGCTAAGAGTCTGCATCAAGAACTGGGTGATTTGATACATGTAATGTCAGGGGCCCCAAGTTTGAGCAAGCCACCCTGAGCAGTACCCAGACCTGTCCTGTCCCAGGCCCATCAGGAAGCATCACCTCTCCCAGACACTCCTGAAAGACAGCATGTATGCAATGGGCAGAAGGCAGCAGGGAGCTACTTAAACCACAGGTTACAGCAAGGATTTTTTTTTTTAAATCTGAAGAGTATACTTGACAGTTGATGACATCACCAACTTGGCCTCTTGCCTCCCCCCCATGTCAACTTCAAGGATTGAGGGATACCACATTTGGCAGAAACTGCAAGGTTACGTCTACACTGGTGTGTTCTCACGCAAAAACTCTTTTGCGGAAGAGTTCTTCTGCAAAAACTCTTCCAGAAGAGAGCGTCTACACTGGCATGTGCTTTTGTGCAAGAGCATCCATGCCAGTGTAGATGCTCTCCTGCGCAAGAAAGCTCTAATGGCCATTTTAACCATAGGGCTTTCTTGTGCAAGAAATTCATGTTGCCTGTCTACACTGGCCTCTTCTGGAAGAGCTCTTGCCCAAGAGGGCTTATTCCTGAATGTGAGCGTCAGAGTTCTTGCGCAAGAAGCCCTGATTTTATACATTAGAACAGTGGTCTCCAACCTTTTTAAACACAAGATCACTTTTTGAATTTAAGTGCAATTGAAGATCTACCTCACACCCAAATATCCTTGTCCTGCCTTCTTTGTGCCCCTTCTCTGAGGTCCCCCGTACCTGTGCACTCCATCCTCCCTCACTTTCACCAGGCTGCGACTGAGGGTTGGGGTGCAGACTCTGGTCTTGGATTAAGGGATCTGGAGTGAGAGAGAGGCTCTGAGCTGAGCTTGGGACAGGCAGTTAGATTGCTGGAGGGGGTTCTAGGAGCAGGCTCTGGGAGGGTGTTTGGATGCAGGGGTACTCAGGGCTGGGGCAGGGGGTTGGGATGCAGGAGGGGGTTCATGACTGGGGTAGGGTTTCAGGATGTGGGCTCTGACTGGGCCCTGCTGACCTCAGGTGGCTCCTGGGTGGTGGTACAATGGGGCTAAGGAAGGCTCACCCTGGTCCTGCACCACTCCCCAAAACAGCCAGCAAACTCCATCCCAAGTCCTGTTGTGTCCCCTCTGCTCTGTGGAAATGGGATACACAGTGTGGGGGGGGGCACCCTGACATCGTGCTCCCAGGGGTGAGGAGCACCTCCAAGGCAGAGGGCAAGAGCAGCACGGCAGTGCTGAGCGGGGCAGATGAAGTGCCAACACTTGATAGCCTCCCAGCCAAACCTGTCAGGATCCCCTGTCAAAGGTTCCAAGATCTACCAGTAGATCCCAATCCACTGGTTGGTGACCACTGCATTAGAACGTCAGTTTACTTGCGCAGTGTAGACAGGCAGCGAGTTTTTGTGCAAGAGCAGCTGCTTTTGCGCCAGATCGTGCCAGTGTTGACACAGCCCAAGAGGGGGGTTATAAGGAGAGAGAGCGTATTCAGTCATATCATTTGGCCACATCAGCAGAGCTAATATTGTCTTGGGAAAACAGGGTGGGATATTTAAGCACAATGCTAAAATTATAATTGTACATCTCCTACAAGAGACAGCATAGACACACAGCCCTTCACTGTATTAAAGCATCTGAAGTTCTGCTGCTTCTAACTGGAGGGTTGTAATTCAAGGCTGTGTCTAGACTGGCACGATTTTCCGGAAATGCTTTTAACGGAAAAGTTTTCCATTAAAAGCATTTTTGGAAAAGAGCGTCTAGATTGGCACGGATGCTTTTCCGCAAAAGCACTTTTTGCAGAAAAGCGTCTGTGCCAATCTAGACACACTTTTGCGCAAAAAAGCCCCGATCGCCATTTTCGCGTTCGGGGCTTTTTTGCAGAAAACAAATCTGAGCTGTCTACACTGGCCCTTTTGCGCAAAAGGACTTTTGCCTGAACGGGAACAGCATAGTATTTCCGCAAGAAGCAATGATTTCTTACAGTAGGAAGTCAGTGCTTTTGCGGAAATTCAAGTGGCCAGTGTAGACAGCTGGCAAGTTTTTCCAGAAAAGTGGCTGATTTTCCAGAAAACCTGGCCAGTCTAGACACAGCCCAACTGTTTACAATTACTAACAAGAGAGTTTAAGTAAACTGCCTCATGAGCATCTGCCACTCTATATGGATTCATCTGCACAGAAGCCAAGAGCCTGCTTTCAGTTTGGATAGACACACACTCAAGTACAAGTGGCTTTGTGCTCAGGTCACTGGCCCAAGCTGCAGGCTATGCTACTGTCGCTACGCTACTATTTTTAATGTGCTAGCCTGCCTCTGTGTACTCAAACTGGGAAGCATGTTTCCAGCTGCAACATGGACTGGTCAGTCCCTTAAAAAGGCACCTCCTTTCTCACTAAGGCTACATCTATACTACCAGGTTATTTCAAAATAAGTTATTTCAAAATAGTAACTTCCAAAATAACTATTTCAAAATAAGCTTATTCCTCTTCACAAGCAGAAGTTATTTCAAAATAAACCCATTATTCTGAAATAACAGGTTTGATAGCGTAGACACTCATATTGTTATTTCGAAATAAATCCCCAGTGTAGACATGCCCTAAAGGTCCAACAAACTATTCTTGCAATGTACTGGGTTTGCCTTTGGGGAATGAGGTAACCAGAGATCTGATGCAACTCCCCTTGGGAATCTGTGGCAGTCTTTCCATTTCCTTCCATGAATACTACTGGATTGAAGAATTTGATCTTCCTCTCCAGATAATTAGGTGCTCTGGAAGCCCCAGAAAAGGTTCTGTATGTTCATCAGCCCAACATTCTCTCACTGCTGATACTAAACTGTAATGCTGCCAGCAAATATATGCTGGAGTTCATCTGGAAAGACTGAAACATGTACCAGAATTTCTTTCCAGATATATCTATAGCTTGCTTGTAAAAAGCTGCTTGTGCTTACAGCAGAATTAACTCTTCTTGATCTCTTCACTTTCCTTCCCTGCTAAGTTTAATCACAGATCAGCCACTACATGATGGGAAAAGAATTGTCTGCTCTCCCTAGTTGTTTGGGAAGTCGACAGGTTATTTTGACAGTGGAGACTATTAAATTATAACACAGATGTAATGACTAGCCACATGCTAACCACAAGTTCACTTTTTTTAGATTTACAATAGGAGTTTTAAAAAGCTATTTTGAATATTATAACTCTGGTCATCTGAAGAAGTGGGTTGTGCCCACGAAAGCTCATGATCCCATCTACATGTTTTGTTAGTCTATAAAGTGCTACCAGACCTTTTGTTGTTTAAGTTTATCCTGTACAGACTAACTCAGCTACCCCCTGAAGCTTTCGAATATTTTTGATCCCTCTCCTGTTTGAGAAAGATGCATTCTGACTATCAAGTCATGCACATGCTTCCATCCATTGTCCTTGTTTAGAAGTTCAACACCAGCATGCCTGAAACAAATCTAAAAACGTAACAAGAAAAGCTTTGTGTTGGCCTGTACAACCTTGATGGTACATTTAAAGGGTGAGTCAATGTGCTGGAATAGCATCTCACTCAATTAGCAGAGAGGTGTCTGTGTTAGAAAGTCAGCTCAGGCATAATGCAACCAATTTGGAGATTATTCTCCAGTAGCTTCTACCTGAGCCTTGATTCCCTCTGCATTCCAGCTGTTAGTAAAAACATTAACAGAGAAGGTAACTTACAAAGCTCAGAGTCACCTTTTTGGCTTGATTCTTGTGTCATCTATCCAGCTCATGTCATCCCAAGAAGGCCTAATCTGTCTGGCTCATATCCATCCTTAGGGAGCCTTTTGTTCAATGTTCATCATGCCACTTTGATCTCATTTCAGCTGTTGGGTTAGTGTAGAGAAGCTAGGAAGCACCTTCCTAGCTTGTTTACCGGGGTAATCGGTTAATCAGCAGGGGACTGCTCTAGCTAGACTGGCACAGCTCTCTGCCCATGGCACAGTGCTGCGGGCCCTGGCCAGGCTGGGCCGAGCAACCCCTGGCAAGAGGTGTGGTGGGTCCAGTTGCAGCCCCCCCCCGCCATGGGATCATGGATAACTGGTTAGACATTATGTTTAAGAAGTTATTTTTTAAACCAGGATTTACATCCCCATTGTTGATTGGCTTGTTTCTCTCATCTAGCGGGTCCATCCTGTGACCCATTACAATAAAAATCCACTCCACAATACAGCCCCTTACCACCTCAGGTGGCCAAAATGGGGGGGAGGGGTGACAAAGCAAGCCTTTCCCTTTCGAGACACAGGAGGATAATTCACTTGAAATAGCAACTTTTATTTTCTTAAATAAAACACTTCGGCCACTTCATCCTGTCAGTTTTGTAGGAGCACGAAAGAGGAGCTTGTGGTCAGTGGAGCCAGTCATCAAACCAGGCTCATTGGTTCAGAATTCTGCATTGGAACCAAGTCACTTTATCACAAAAGTAACTGAAAACTATTGGAGGCTCTTGCTCATGGAAAGAAAGAGCCAGTATCTGTCAGACACTAAACTATTTAGCAGCAACATTTAATAAAGCATGATTAGAAAATCCAAGTTTTCTGATAAAAGATTTCCATTCACAAAGCATTATTATTCATTTATTATAGCCAAAAAAGGCCACTGCCTAGAATGGGACTTGAGCCCGAAGAGCTATTTCTGGGATTCAGGAGCCATGGATGCATGATTTAGAGACAAGTGGTTTCCTGACAACTATTTCTCAGGTACACTGTCAGAAAAGGTGAAAGGAGAAGGCAAAGCAGAGGTTTTCCCCTGGGAAATTCCTAATATCATCTCTCTGACTTGCAACATGGACAGAAATGAATCCTCACCAAATCTTGGAGTTCTTCAAGGAAGCAGCTACTGCACCTATGGCCTGGCCAAGTATCAATCCTTTTGTTCATAGGACTGCACTTTCTAGCTCTCTCAGCAGCACTAATTGGATCAGCATCTGCTATAGACTATATCAGAGAGTTAACAAGAGGATTAGGGTATTGGTTTTAAATTTGATAGAGTGGGATCTTCAAAAGCTCAGCCTAGAGCTGTCTCAGATGTGTAAGATTGGGAGTCTAAAGCCACTGTCATGTAGAGCTAAACCCTTGGAAGCTAGAAAGGCTGTGAGACTGGGGAAGGGGAAGGGGAAGGGGAAGGTTTGCTTTAATGATATCTTAAATGACAGGGATATGCAAGGAATGACAGGTAACATCTCTCAGTGGTATCAATGGAACCAAGAGAGGAGTCATGTTTGCCTGGACAAATCCACAAATTCCAATTGGCTGAGAAAGCCTTGGGCAGGTATAACAGATGGACGTGTACAAGAGATCTGCCATGGTACAGGACCTGCTGAGTCAAGGACACTCATCTCATCTTAGCAAATGGACTCCATGGTGCCAGTTTTTAGGGATGCTATGCAAACAAGCTACCTTACATGAAATGTCACCATATGGGAAACCTTTGTCTCCCCATGTCCCCTGATATCAGAATAGCCTGAGTCTCTTCCTGTCTCCAGTGGAGCAAGCTTCATGGAAGCCTACGTGGCTTTGGAGAACTTCTTCTCTTTTTTTTTTTTGGCTTTTATATGGTGACGATAAGTCAGTTCTGATTATACAGAGTAGGACAGGGTCAGGCACCAGTGGGCAGCAGCTAAGAAGGTTACTTCTTGACAATCTGGATGACATCTTCATGCTCCATTAGATGAGTTAATCCTACTCTTTGAGGACTGTATTTTGTGCTGGTTCCCTGTAAGCCAGGAGAAAACAAATTGAAATGTTTTAGGACTGGACACTTCAAATAGCACTGGCAAATCAAATTCAGAGAGTATTAGTTACTTACCCACACCAAAGCGTATTTGAACTGGCTTGCTAATGTTCTGTGAATTCGATGGCACTGCAGTAAGAGAGTGTGTGATGGTCAAATGATAATGCTTTATTTTATACTGGCCTCTGTTCTACTCTGGTTTTTATACTGTGCTCCTCCCTGTGGTATCTGAGGACCTAAGAATTAGGCTTGAAAGCGCTGTTTTGATTATTAGCTCCAACTAATCATGCCTCCCAAGAAAAGAAGTCGAGATTTCCCCCAGACTTTCAATACCCACTGCTGTGTCCATCTAACATCTAGCCACTCCAACCCGGAACAACTTGGTTCCACATTGAATATTGAAAAGGCAACTTCAGAGCCACACTCAAAGAACACACAAAGAGCATAAAGTTAATGTACTAGAATTGTGTTTTCTCCAAACAAAGGTGCCAGAAATAGCACCACAAAAGTTGCAATTTCCATCTGCCTGTTTGCTGAACTCTATTAGTTAGCTTCATCGCCTTTTGTCTAGTAAAAAATGCTAGTAAGTTACATTACCAGGAAAGAAACATTTGTTTCTAGAACTTAGTGCAACCAAGCTAAGGAATATTAAAAGGCAACAAAACACCAACATGTGATTTTTCATAAGACAGCCTAAAATATATAAAATCCTAACAGTCGTCTCAGGTAGCAAGTTTGCATTGGACTCAGTGCTGTTCTTCCATCAGAGAAAGATCTTCCTTTGTGTTATTTACTTACCACATGCTCTACAGAAGCCCCTTTCCGGAGAATAATGGCATCTGTGAAGTCTGGTCTCTCTAGAGAGCACAAACAACATCAAGGGAAAGATAGCATCACTTTTCCGAGCACTGTTCTTCAACTCAATCTGACAATGCATTTAATTATCTACAACTCCTTGAATTCTCTCTTCCCATTACCCTCCAGTGATAGCCGACAACAGGCTGGCAGAGAAAGCAGCCATTCACCTGAATTATACTGCCTACCTAACTTCATATACACCTCAGTAGCAGGAAGTACAAACTGGACTTTTAAAGACCAATGGAAAAATTGATTTATTTTTCCAAGTACTTCCAAGACTTGATTTATTCTCTCTCAGCTATCAAAGGTTTTTGGTTTATCCTGCCTTTGATATATAAAAGTCATGGTTACCTGAGTCAACCATTTCCTTGTAATTCACAAGCTCATCCAGCCCCAACTCAATTCAATCCACATGACAGGACTTAATCACACCCATAAAAACCGAAGTCTAAACAAGCTACTTAAAAAGGAAATCACTGTTGCAGTTTTGTTGAAGATCATAACATTTTCAGATGTAGTAAGAAACCATAAAATCTCACTGACATCTACCCAACATTCAAGCTTGTGATCCTTCCATGCCACATGCAACAAAATACAGCTTGATGGATCTATCCTCCATGAATTCATCTAGCTCTTTTTTGAACTCTGTTAAAGTCCTGGCCTCTACAACATCCTCCGGCAAGGAGTTCCACAGGTTGACTGTGCATTATGTGAACAAATACTTCCTTTTATTTAACAAAACATGTAGATGGTATGAGCTTTCGTGGGCACAGCCCACTTCTTCAGATGACCAGAGTTATGGTTAGAGGATAAGGAAACTCCTCTAATCATAACTCTGGTCATCTGAAGAAGCGAGCTGTGCCCACGAAAGCTCATGATACCATCTACATGTTTTGTTAGTCTATAAAGTGCTACCAGACCATTTGCTTGCTGTTTTTCTTCCTGTAACAGACTAATTCAGCTACCCTCTGAAGCTTCCTTTTATTTGTTAACCTGCTGCCTATTAATTTCATTTGGTGCCCCTTAGTTCTTGTGTTATGGGAACAAGTAAATAACTTTTCCTTATTTCCTTTCCCCCCACCAGCCATGACTTGATAGACCTCTATCATATCCCCCTCAGTCTTCTCTTTTCTAAGCTGAAAAGTCCCAATCTTATTAATCTCTTCTTTTACCAGCTGAGGACTGCTGCCCCTGTTCATTCTCAGCCCACGTGACACTTGTAAGCAACCCCATGGGAGTTGTGTCTCAGGAGGGGATGGTGCTAACTGCCCAGTCTTCCCAACACCACTGCGTGCTCCTAGCAGGGACAGCCTGTTTTGACTTATGACCACCTGGGAAGGTGGGGACCCAGCTGCCCACTGACAGCCTCCCCTTGCACTTCTGAAAATTCCCCCCTTGGACTCTTCGGGCAGTCAGTGTTTTGCTTACGCCCTCTCTTCTTAGTGTAGATACAGGTAAGCGCCAGGTACTCCCACAGCTTCTCTAGTAAGTAGTCGAGGTTCAGCTTCATCCCACAGCTGCAAAACACCACAAACATCTCAGCTTAGTGCAATTATATAACCCAAGAGCAGCCCAAGCTCAGCCTCACCTGGACTCCACAAAGAAGTGGGATTGAGAATAGGGATGTGAATGACTAGTCGACTAACTGATAAGCAAATGCTTATTGGACAGTCAACACGCTAGTCGACTAGTCACTTCCCCCATCCTCCTTGCTATCAGAAAAAGGCAGCAAAGGGGGCAGGGAAAGCTGACTCTGGGCTACATGTGGTGTTTCAAAGCAGCAGTGCCACATGGAGCCCAGGGTCAGCTGGGAACTCCCCCACTGACCCTGGGCTCCATGTCACGCTGCCACTTTGAAATGCCGTGGGGAGCACAGGGCCAGTGGGGGACTTGTCCCGCTGACCCTGTGTTCCCCGCAGCGCTTTTGCCTTTGAAGTGTAGCAGCCGCCATGGGGCTGTTGCTACACTTCAAAGGAGGAGGCGCCCTTATCGACCAGTCAATGCAAATCACGACTATTCGATTAGCTAATTAATCGAAATTTTACATCCCTAATCGAGAAGCTTATTCAGTGCTGAATGACCAGGTGAAGCTTTCTGATGGGTCAGAAAGGGGAAGCAGACAAGGCTTCCCAAAGCCCGTTCATTTCATAAATCAGAGAATACCATAGCACTACTGAGACCACCTGGTTCATTTGGTTCTCGGTCCTGCCATGAGGGCAGGGGACTGGACTTGATGATCTCTCGAGGTCCCTTTCTGTTCTAGGATTCTATGATTTCAACCTGCAGATGGTATGAGGCAGCTTATAAAGATTTCCCTCTCTCCGTAGATGGAGGCCACTGAATATTGTTAACAGTGACAGGATACTTGTTGAGTTTCTCTCTGAGCCAGAGCACAGAGCAGCTAAGTGATGTGCCAAGGAGCAGGCCATCCTTAGGATTTATGAGGCCATACACAGTCCTATTCTATTAAACTGGTGTCTCTGTGCCCGGCGGCAGCCTGGAGGGGTGGGAGGTGCTGATTTTTTAAAGATGTGATTCAATAATCTTCAGCAACACAGTAATGAAATACTTTTAAAACAAATTTTAAATGCTGGTCCTGTAGACTAATGCAGTAAAATCAGAAACTGACAGTATACACGTGGGGTTGGTAAATGCCTGTTAAAAGGCTTTATTACCAGGGCTCGACAAATAATACAATCTACTCGCCAGGTTCGGGCAATCTGCGCATGTGCAGATCCCCAGACAGCACAGCTGGCAAGCCCTGTTTATTACCACTTGAATGGCTCTTTCACAGGTTCGATGTTATGCTAATAGCTCTGCCAGGCTCTCTCACTTTTAAGTTACCTAGAGAAGTGGTCACCAACCAGTAGATCGGGATCTACCAGTAATTCTTGGAGCCTCTGGCAGGTGATCCTGACTAGTTTGGCCAAGAGGTTGTCAAGTGTGAGCACTTCAGCTGCTCCTCCCCCCACTGCCACTCCTCTCCTGCCCTTTGCCTTGGAGCTGCCCCTTCCCCTGGGGAGCCTCCTGCTTGCCATGCAAGGCAGGGGAGGGAGAAGAGGGTGCTGATGTCAAGGTGCCCCCTCCCACTCTGTATCCTTTCTCCATGGAGCAGAGAGGGGGCACAACAGGACTTGGGATGGAGTTCGCTGGCTGCTTTAGGGAGTGGGCCAGGGCCAGAGCAGGGGTGAGCCTGCCTTAGCCCCACTGCACCACCGCCCATGAGCCACCTGAGGTAGGCAAGGCCCAGCTGGAGCCCACAGCCTGAACTCTTACCCCAGTCATGAACCCCCTCCTGCACCTCAAGCCCCTGCCCCGAGCACCCTGCATCCAATCACCTTACCAGAGGCTGCACCTAGAACCCCCTCCTACTTCCCAACTGCCTGCCCCAAGCTCAGCTCAGAGCCTCTCTCTCACACTCCAGATCCCTTAATCCAAGACCAGAGCCTGCACCCCAACCCTCAGCCCCAGCCTGCTGAAAGTGAGTGAGGATGGGCAAGAGAGGGAGGATGGAGTGAGCAGGGGCGGGGCCTTGGAGAAGGGACAGGAGGGAGGCGGGACAAGGGTATTTATATTTGAGGTAGATCTTGGACTGCACTTAAATTCAAAACGTGATCTTGTGCTTAAAAAGGTTGGAGACCCCTGACCTAGAGCCTCTCCAGAGGAAGCAAAGCCACAGAACACAGATAGGAAAAGGCAGGCAGATGGACATTAAGATCCAGTAGTGCCCCAAATCTTCAGGTGTCCTATGCAACTGCATATTCTGTGTGCATGGGAAGGACGGCTCTGCCAAGGAGCATGCCCTTCTTTGGGCAAGGAAGCAGCTATTAATGAAACGTCAAGCAACTTCCTTGAGTACAGCGCTTGTAGGAGGTGTGGACTGACTGACTTGCATGTTATTACCTGATCACAACACTGTTGGGTCTCCTAGCCAGACGATCTACTTCCTCCATAGATATCTGGTCAATCTTGTTATAAACCTAATTCAAAAGAGAAAATAACACACCCTTTAGAAAGCCAATTCATGTGTCACTGCAAGCAAACATGGTATAACTGAGTGATTACAAGGTTCTGCAGCTTCCAGTGCTTGCAGACATACAATGGGACACTGGGACTAGTTAAAAATGGCTCTTATCAATACTGATCAAATGTTTTGGTAAACTGTTAAAAGTTCATAAGCCTCAAAATAATAGAAGTTCCCCCATTTTAACTCATTTTTTTCCTTTGGGGTCACCTGTAGTGTTTTGTTCTTGGATAATTACAAACCTCTCAAACAGGTCCCCTGAAATGAAAGGTGCATTGAGACTGTGCACAGACACACACCATGGTTGACAGAGAAAACGACATGCAACTTTCAGCATCAAAACAAAAGTCTCTGCACCACCTGAACTAAAAAAGGAACAATCAGCTGAGAATAGCCTGCTGGTGTAGTCATGGGGCCGGCCACAAGAGGGCGCTGGAATCATCTGCATTACCCAAGCATTCTGCTAGCACATGTACAACAGGGTAGCTAAACGTTTTAGGACAAGTGGTGGTTTTCAGAGGGATTCTCTCAAGGCAAGAGGCCAAGGTCCTCTCTCAAGATCATTCTATATTTATGGCCCCAACCTTATGCTGTCCCATTCATTTGACAGAAATAAAAGTCTGTTTCCAGGGTACTCACATAAAGGCAGGGCATGTAGACTCTGTTACCGACAATCACATCGATAAACTCATCAGGAGAACAATCTTCTCTAAACAGAACCTCTGCATTGAAGATTTCTGAGATGGACTTCATTAAGGCCAAACTTCCTCTCTGGGCTAAATACACTGCACAGGCACAATAAGGCTGGCTTTGTTGAATCTTGTATAATAGGGGCTGCTCAGATGAACCCCCTCCCAAATGCCTAGTGCTTTTAACTTCACTGCCAGCTTACTGGCACTACCACCTTGCTCTGAAATGAGTATTAAATACCGAGTCCCATTCTAGTTCATCTTCACCTAGTGAGCCGCGGATCGTGGGCTGGTGCACAAGAGAAGTGGTTTCTGGAGGTAGCCCCTTTTCAGGCTCCCATTCAGGAAAGGATACTGTATTCATGGAGGATGAGCTGCACCAGCTTCTCAGAGCACTGGGTCAGTGTGACAGTCGAGTTAAAGGAGATGCCTCCTCCCTTCTTTGGCTGGATGAACAGAGCAAAAAAACCCTTAAATATTCTGTAAAACGTTTAGCCCACATTATCTGCAACATGACAAAAGGGACAGGCACAGAGGAATTAGTGCATCCATTAGACGAGCATGCCAAACCCTTAACTGTGCAGGGTCTCTGGTAAGTCTCACCTTGAAGTAGATGTTTGGTTTGCATTTGTTCAGCCGGATTCCTACAGATTCCAATTCCCTTTCTAAGAGAGACCTGCGAGGACACTGCAAATCAGTCATCGGTACAACCAGAGGACAGTCACAAGCTTGGATTTTGAGTGGCCAGCACCTTGAGGTTTCCCAGCTCCAAAATCACCACCCTGTGGATCTTCTCTCTATCACTGACTAGGGCCCTCCCATATAGCAAAGCCTCTAGTTGTATCCAAGGACGTGGTCATGGGAGGAGGACAGCCACAAACATAAAGATACCATCATGTAATCAATTACCCTTCCCTGGACAGGCCTCGTTTTGATGTTCTTCCTCACAAGAAGCCAGAACTGAGACTCCTTGCGAGCTTAGTAAATGCTGTGCCTAGCTACCTAGTAGGTGTTTCTATTGAGCACAACTAAATCCATTGCCCAAACCTGGGTTCCTTGCTTGGAAATTAGCAATAGGTCACCCAGTCCAGGTAATAAGCTGCAGTAACTGCTGTAGCTAACAAGATAGCAATGGCCAAAAAGCCCCGGTAGAAGTTTAAACTTAAAAAGAAACATTAACAGAGAAGCCTCATGATGCACACATTTTTTGAAACTGCTAGCAGGAGTGGAAGAACAATTCAGCAAAAATCAGCAACAAGCAGTTCACTGTGGAATACCTATGGAGAGAGATGATCCCAAAAATATCAGAATAAAATTATTAGCCTAGTGTAGATTACATTAGGACATTAGTGAATATCTAGAGTGCTGTATACAGACATGTCTAGTTTGTCTCTGCAGCTGGGAAATACAACGGAATCTGGATTCCTCCATTGGCAGATCAGCCCAGAACCAACTACGCCTCTCTCTGTACTCACCTCTGTACTTCGCCTTTGGTGGCATCCAGCATCATGATGACAACATCAGAGGTCCTAGCTACAGCTATCACCTGACGTCCTCTCCCTTTCCCTGAAAAGGATGGAGACGATGTTATACTGGTGGAAGGCAGAATATCTAAAAACCTCCTCAAACCAGGAGCCGCCCATGGGGCTTCCCCCCCCCCCCTTAAAAAAAAAAAAAGATTTTTATTCCTGCTTTGGCTGCACTCGCCTGTTGGGAAGGAGGCCAGGCACATAGGGTCAAGGCCCTTTCAGAATTCTTGAGGCTGAAATCCATGAAAGTTCATAAAAGAAACACACCATATTTTGAAGGCCAGTTCAACAGCCTATCAACAGAGAGCACTACACAGACACACAAGGGATCTGGCTCTAAGCAATCATAGTACCCATCCCTCTAGTTCAGGGGTAGGCAATAATTTTTGGTGGGGGGCCACTCCATGATTTTGGTAAGTGATCAAGAGCTGCACTTTTCTATGGAAGGGGTGTGGGGTCTAGGATGGAGTCTGGGTACAGAAGGGTGCCCAGGGTAAGGGACTGGAGTCCAGGAGGCAGTGTGGGGTCTGAGAGGGTGTTTGTGTGAAGAAGGGGGTTGTGACCAGGTAAGGCAGTGTGGGGTCTGAGAGGGTGTTTGTGTGAAGGGGGTTGTGACCAGGTGTAGGGGGATGCAGAGGGCTTGGATGATGACCTAGGGGAGGGAGTTGGGGTACAGGAGCGTCAGAGGCAGCCTATGGATGGCAGGCGCTTATCTAAGCATCTCCAGGCCTGCAGCACCCGTAAGGCAGACTGGGTTCCCTGCCAGCTGCAGCCCCAGACTGCTTGAAAATACAAGATGTTCCCTCCTGGAGGCTCTCAGCTCCGGTTTGCCCTTCCCCATCTCCCAGGCCAATCTCTCAGCTCCGACAGGCTGGCTGTTTCCAGCCAACAGGAGCTGAGAAATTGGCTGAGGTCAGTTCTTATTAGCTGGTTGTTTCTCACCAACAGGAGCTGAGCATTGGTCAGGGGGTGGGGAGAACATGCGAAGCTTCCCCCCCTCCCTGCAGAGCAGAGATACATAGGGATTGCACTTTAAACTGCACCAGCTGCGTGCCTGAGGGTCCCAGCAGGGTGGTCTGCGGGCTGGATCCAGTGGGTTGGCGGGCCAGTTCTGGTCTCCAGGCCATATTTTGCCTAGCCCTACTCTAGTTGCATGGGGCTGGGATGTGAACCACTCAGATGAACAAGCACTCCCTCTGCAGGCAGACAGTGGAGAGGTACTGGAATCCCAGACTATCTTCCCTCTCCCCACTCCCACAAGAATCAGAGCATGCTCAGTATCTATTCATTCTGCACTGAAGTGAGGATACCCAGAATAGTGAAAAGGAAAACCCTGGGATCTCAGTTCAAATCAGTCAGTCTCACTCTCTGGTCAGAAATGAAAGATGATGCGTATTAACCAAACTATGCTGGACTCAGAATGAAACATTAGATGAATCCCACTTCGCAAGACTCCTCTCACCATGGCCTGAGCGACTGGCAGATGAAGTGAGAGGAAAAAGATGGATGAATTCCTGGCTCCCAAGTCAACAAGCCACAACAGAGTTCTCAGAAACACTCTGGTGATTGCAACTGCACAGTATTTCTTGCCTTTTTTAACCTTCCGCCTGAACATCTCTAAGTCTCTTTAGTGACCAATACCAAACATGTCCCCTTTTACCAGGAGAACAGATGAATCCAAGTCTAAAATTTCCCCTGCATATAGAGGTTTGCTTACTTCAACTATCTACTTCCAGAACAAGCATTTTCTACAACATAATCTGCCTTTTCATAATTCAGGGACTCTTTTACAATTGTCTCCCACATTAAAACTCAGGTTTTAAGCCTAAGGTGTTCCTACAATACATGAACCAATACTAGATCAGGAAGATTGGTACCATTCAGAAACCCCAAACACAATACTGAGAGCAGTGGCACTTATTAATTTAATGTAAGAGGTAACCAACCTTGTGCTGCTCCTTCAATAATTCCAGGCAGATCCAAAAGCTGAATGTTTGCTCCCTTGTACTGCAAAAAAAATCAAAGAGATGGAAGGTTATGAAGAGCTGCACAATAGCTTCTAAACTACTTTTCAAACATCAAATAAGTCCTCAATGTATTCTAAACAGAATGCCAAATGTGAAATCAATGGGGCTACACAGAGGATAGGGCAGGGCAAAATCTGGCCCAGTAAGTTTAGGATCCCACTGAGCTGAAAACAGCTTTATAGTAAAAACTGCCAGTTATTTCACTAAATTTCTGAAAATTCTTCTTCCATCTCAAGATACATTTGACTGCAGCAGTTTATGGCCAAAGCTACGACAATTTTACATCATCTTGGTTTGACTATAAAATGACAAGACTAGAGCACCTGTTACGGTTGTAATATTATTTTTGTCTTCTGCTCACCAACTAAACTTGATCATATGGGTAATAAGTTTCTATCTGGTCCAACAGTTAAAATATTTTAATGAGAAGCACAAACGCTGCTGCCTTCTTGTGACTGAATTTTTAATTGCTCAGCTGTGTGTCACGGCATTATACTACTACAGTGAACAAAAATTTTCCTTTAACACAAG